TTTTATGCTCGTATTGGGTTGCTTGCAACTGCCGCAATGCCACACAACAACAAACACCAAACTCGAATTCATGCGAGTATATATGTGAGTTTGTCGCAACATTGGTGGCACACATTTTTGGGCATGCCAAAATAGGTCAGTATGTAAATGTTCACATACATACATACCCCATATCCTCATTTTTGTATATATATATATATATATATGTGTGTGTGCATGAGAAAAGTGGATTTTTATTTTCAAGTCAATGCCAATGGGGTTTTTATATTCATGTCGTTGATTTATTTTTTCCGCTGTTCTAATTACAATCAAAGTAGTTGTATTTGTTGCAGTTGCTTACCAATGCTCACAAGCCGCTTGTGGCCTCAATGCAGAGACTGTGTCGCTTGTAGCTCGTTTTCACTCTTCTTTCATTTGCAATGACATATTTGTCCTACTGCCGTGAAAAGTAAGTAATGTTGTCATGGTTTGTTGGGTTTTTTCTTTCGGTTTTGTTGAAGCTTTGCTCTGTTTCTTCGGCGCAGATCCTCCATTGTAGGGCCCAATCCGCTTTGGCGGGAAAATGACTTTTGTTTTTTGTAAATACGGCAATTGCTGTTGTTGTTTGTTGCTTACATTACGTTTACGGTAATCGTTCTGGTTTCTTGCGCTGCAACCGAACTGAAGCGTCTTCAATTTGCATTTGAAATCAATTTGACGTTTCTGACAGCCAAAATGAAATGTTTTGCGGAAAATAAAGTTGTTGTTTCGGCTTGCAATATCTTATTTATTATTTATGGCTATACTTGCGGTTGCTAAAGAAATAGTTCTATGCATTGAGATTAAAAGCCGTTGAAGCTGGTGCATTTAAAAACACCGAAAGTAATATTTGAAATCAATGGTGTCAACCGATGTGGAGGGATAAGAAACTTACCTGCTTTTTGATCAAGTTTAGGTTTGGTTTACTCCTATTTTGCCTTTTTTTCTAATCGTTGAAAGTATTTGTATAACTTCGAATGATTAATAAAACTATTTTGAATCGAGCCAAGAATATTAGACATTTAGATTTATCATAAATGCTTAAATTTGTAATTTGTTTATATTGGGCTTTTAAAACTTTAACTATAGCTTCGCATTTACTGTATTAGTTTCGTAAGAAATTCTGTTGCAAAATATGTATAAAGAGATAAGAACCTAATATCTTGACCCGTTTGCAGAATAGAGTTGATATATAATACCTCCATCGTGCAGACTAAAACCAATAGTCAATCTGTTGCGTAAGGTGAATGTGTAGCGAGGAAATAGCCGAATGAATATGTCTTTAATGAAGTTAAAACAAACTTCGCTATAAGAAAGTAGTTTACATAACAGGTGTGCAATATTTTATCAGGTGAGTTTGCCTTATTATCTATACAGATTGGTTGAAAAGTTAGTTAGTCTCTCAAAGATATTATAAGCAATATTAGCTCCTTGCAAGGTTACAAGTCATTCTGTCAATTAATTCTTTGTTTTCAAGCCATTTGAAGTTGGAAAAATTGAATATTGCGCATTGATGAGATTATTTGTTTTAAAAGGCTTAAAAGCAAAGGAAATTTGTGAACAATTGTAAGAAATGTATAAGGCGTCCTCAAAGCGCACCGTTGAATTTCGGGCTGATGAATTTTAACGTGGTCGTACTAAGCTTGAAGACGATCAAAGCGAAGAACCACCAAAAACCGCAACCACACCAGAAATCATTAAGCAAGTTCATAATATTATTGGCGAAGATCCAAGATCCAGCGTGAAATTGCTAATGTCATCGGCATCTCAGAACAACGAGTACTAAATATGAAGAACAACATAGAGAATTACATATGAAAAAGCTGTTTCGAAAGTTAAAAGATATATTTCGTACCAAAAACAGTATTTTTTCATTTCGAGCGCAAAAACTTTTCAACCAACCTGTACTTTAATTTTTCACAGAGTTTGAACACAAAATTAAATAAACTCCTTAATTGACCTTAAATAATTTATTTGAAAGCTAATTTCGGCATATAGAACTGTGTGTTGATGGAGGAAGAGATTTCATTTATCATTGCGACCTGAGCTTTTCGATTGGAAAAGTTGAATTATTGCAATTTCACTCTGGAAGGATTTTCATGCGTAGAAATTAATTATAAATGTGTGTACTCGAAACACTCAATTGTTTGTGTATGTAACCAACTTAGATGTCGCTCTTTATTACTAACTGGTGGGCGAACTACGGTTAATTAACTCCCAAACTTTCCCCGTTGTTTTGCTTTGTGGGAGTGGCAACATGTGCGGAGTGCCTAAATCAAATTAAGAGTGTTTAATGAGATTGTCACTCAAGCGCACTTTTTAAATACTTATATGCTTCAAAGTGTATGCATCGTCTAGCGGTCATACCGTTATCACACATACTTTTGGTTAATGTTTTAAATACACAAAAAACAGAAAAGGTTTACTTAATGTGCCTACAAAATGAGTAGATTTTATTTATTTAATTTGAAAAGTAATGTCAATGTCTTTTTGTTAGAAAAATAAAGATTGAAATACGAATTTTACTTATTTCAACTGAATTTATAGCTAAAGTTAGTTTAGTTTTTATGGCATTATATGGTTTTATGCAAAAATATCTTGTAAATTACTTAGCTAATTAACTGGAAAATATTTTCAAAACTATCTGATTCACACGACGTGACTAGACATAAGGATGTAAAAATTTAAATTTACTGTAAATTTTAGTAGTTTTAATCTCAAAGCTCCCAAATTAAACATAAAATATTTAGCAATAATTTCATAACTTTTAATATAAAAGTCATTTGTGTCATTGTGAAAAAATTAGCGACGGAAAAATGAAAACTATTTTTCGCACCCTAACATCGTTGTGACATTTAAAAATCTTCATTTTACCCTAAGCACACCTGGTGTCGTTTTAATTACGGATCCTTACGTTGCACGCCGTCGAATTCAAAGCAGGCTTGTCGCGTCATGTACCTTTAATTATTGCTTCTTTGCACTTTTGCACTTTTCGAAATGTTTTTCTCCCCTTCAAGAGTACAAAAATGTCCAAGCCTGTGGGAAGAAAAATAATTCTAAGTCGTCTAAATCTATTGTCGTAATTTCTGCTCAAGTAGAGTGCCATTCGCATTGTTGTTGCAAGACATCCTGTTTGTTATTACATTTGCTTTGCTTGTAATTAAACTGTAAATAACTGTTAATACTACATGACGCAAATAATTGCCATTAATTTTTTTTCGCTTCATTAACACAAACAGTTTTTTAATTTACTCATTAAGGCAAAACGGATAAACATATGCAATGCGGGACTCTCTCAATTACAATATTATTCACAAATGGAACTGAGATTTCGGTTTCAGCAAATAAAATACATCACCGATTTAGAAATTCCCAAAATGTTTTGTGACCTTTGGCAAATTTTATTCGGTCAAGTGGAAGTAAACCAAAACAGATGACCATTAGCATACAAATATGACCAAACAAATATTAATAATAAGTTGCTTTGGGCTAAGCAGGTTGTTGAAATTAGATTGCATCAAATATTCACATAATATATTTTAGTAATCATTTAGTCAGACAACGGTTGACCAGATCCGTAAACTATGATGCAAATAAAACGCTTTTATTATATGACCAACGAAATGGAAGATAATTTCCCAGCCTCTAATGAAATATGCAAGTTGTATACCCTTGCGACATGTTGCTACAGAGTATAAACGTTTTTTTCACCAACCGGTTGTTTACATCACTTAAAATTGTCGAATAACATATAGGGCTATATAATATATAAATGAAAACGATCAGGATGACGAGACGAGTTCAATTCCGAGTAACTGTATGTCCATCCGTCTGTCCATGCAAGCGATAACTTAAGTAAAAACAGAGATGAAACTTGGTACACATATATCTTGGCACCCAAGGGAAGTTGGTATTGCAAATGTGATGAATCACACCACTGCCACGCCCACAAAACGCCATTAAACGAAAACATATAAAGTACCATAACTAAGCGCTAAATTAGGATACAAAACTGCAATTTAGTACAAAAGATCCCAGTAGTCAGTGACACCTGTGGTATAAAAATTTTTAAAAGTGGGCTTGGCCCCGCCTCCTAAATGGTTTATTTTACATATTTTCGAAACCGATAAAGTTATATCAATCAGACTTGCTGAGAGGAAGTCATTTTAGCACCTCTTCAAATACTGTGCAAATGGGTAAAATCAGACAATAACCACATCCACTTCCCATTTAACAGTTATGTTGAAAACCACAAGCACGAAGTTTCACAAACATGATGATACGGAAGGGCTTCATAGGTTAAAATGTAAAAGTTGAACAATAGGCGTAGTACCGTCCGCTTTTAGGTGAAATCCCTTATCTTAGGAACTACTTGACCGATTTCAACCAAATTTGGGGTGCAAGTCTATCCAAATGTTCCTATTAGACACTTTCATTACCTAATAAGGGATGAAAATAAATGAAAATTGTATTCAAACTTTCACTACTCTGAAAATTTCGTTTGCTGCTACTAATTAGCTAAGCATTAATTGAAACTAATTTCATAAACCAGATCAGAGAAAAACTTTTACAATTATTTAATTATTTCGCAGTCAAAATGTGTCGTGAAAAAAGACCAAGTCCATTGCACATTGTCGGCTTTTCACCGCCACAAATCCAATTGTTACGAACAGCCACAGGCAAAAGATTGAACAAAGATTGGCGGTCGCACGTGCTAAAGAAACGTGCAGAAATAAAACGAGAAAAAAATAAATCAATAACAGTCTAAAATGCTTACTATCCAATTTAACGGTGAAGCAGGAAATGCAGTCACAGCCAAAGTAGCAAAAATTAAAAGCAAAAACCATCACATAAAGGACCAAAAATAATAATGTGAAAGTAGAATCATTGAAGTGCGTCACTTGCACAAATCTAGAATCTAAGTACCTTTAAATTTTTAAAAGCGCTTATTTAGCTAAGAACTAATAACTTTTGGTGCGTACATTTAGAAATTTATAGCGAAGCTGCTTTCGCTGTTTTCCCAGAGGCACGTTCCGGATCCTTGTTCTCTTTAAACTATCTCAACGGATATTGCTGATGATGACGTTGTTCGAGTGACGGAAACCGTGAGCTTAGGCGCGGAAAACACGAGCGCCTGTGCGTTTAATTAAAATTTATGCGCTTCGTGGTTTTGAATTTTTTCTCTAGAAGACCACCGCTAGATTAATAACTGCACTAACACACACACTGAACACTGATGTGTATGCCTAAATGGTAGAACGATTTTCACTCAAACTTGCACAGCTGCCGCTTCGCCTTGCCTTTTTTACCTCAACCTATCGCTTATTTCCACTTAGTCAACACTTTCCAATCACAAACGCACTTTTTTAATTCGCCTGTGCCATTTTACTAAAAATAGCAATAATTTCCTTAGCTGCGCAATACTTGACAGTCATAATTTATATTTTTGAGATTTACTTTGCCGTCTCTGGGCTTCTGCTTTAATTCTTATCTATATCTTTTTCTATTGTTACATTGCTCGTTGTGCCGACAAGTAGCGAACCGGCTCGTTCAGGCCCACGTTCTAAACTGAATTGTATCTCCGCTGCGACTGAGGTAAAAAGCCCAGTGCAAGCCGAGTAGCCGAGTGGTGAGCTGAGGCGAAAGGTGGAAGGCGCAGATGAGAACATCGTAGATGCAGAGGCTGTGCAGGCAGCGCTGCTGTTTCTGGCTTTTGATGCTGGCGCTATTACTGCATCCTTGAGCACAGCATTGGTGTCCACGTGGTGCCCCTCTCTGTCAACGACGCAACTGCTGCAACATTTGCCGGGGCCATTGGTTTCAACGGTATCTGCTTGCGCTTTGCTTTACTGTTAAATAAGCAGCTGTTAAAATTAGCAGAGGTATTTAGAGGAAGTTTATTCTGTTGTCTAGTTAGCGGTGACATTGCCTGCTTTCAGGCAAACAAGGGTTGCAAAAAGTTGTTTCTCTTTTGTGAGATTAGGCGAGCTCGATTAAGCCGGTATAAACTAAATCAATACATAATCGAAGAGAGAAGTTAAAGCAATCAGATAATGGGCTACTGTGGATAATCTAAAAGAGAAATGTACTAAATTTGATATTCATACTCTCATTTCTCGTTTTCTCTTTCTCATATTGTCAGCTCAAATACGTGGTAGTTCAAACGTACCGGTTACGGGCTCTATCCAAAACACGTCAAGTGTAAACAAATAAACGGAGAACCGATAATTAAATGCACAATCACGTGTTCTAAGCAAAGCAAGGAGCATAGCATATAAAAGGAGTCAGAGAACTCGTGCAATGCGATTATTATTGGGGTAGGTGAAATCTTATTTTATGTGAATTCTTGGCAAACTAGTACAGGGCTGTAATTAGGTCTTTTTCACAAAAGAGCAATAAATGCAAAAACAACACTTAATGAATGAAGTACTAAAATGCCGCTAGAAATAATACCTAAAATTATATAACATAATAAAAAGTAAAGCTAAAATCAAATTTTCTGGATCAATTCCAAGAACACAACAAGAGAACGGAAGGAGGTGCACTCACTTTCCTCATCTTCGTTTATGAATATGAAAATTTAATTAAATCGTCAAAGCTAAGTTTATTGTTTGCTACACATCTAGGTTACAAAAATAAACAAATGAATATCACAGAAATGTCATGTTGTACACATGTAAACACGTAAAACACAATAAATCTACATCCACATGTGCAAATATGCTAGGAATTTCACTTTCATTTCATTTTTCTGGGTTTGCAGAGAAAGCAAAGATTTTTTGATGGAGATAGGAAATGACAATAGGAATAAAACCAGTCAACCTTTCAGCAGATTTAATTAACATCTTTGCATGTTATTTCTATTTTTTTCGTTGAATTTTAGTAAGTAATAGAAGTGAATACATTTAGGGAAATGTGTAAGCTAAACTTTCAATATGCATATTAACCTAGTATAAAAAAATTAATTTAGAGATTTATGTACTTTAATTAAGTAATCCGCATCCTTAAATTAAAAAATACTTTATATACATTTACAATATACAATAAGCTGTCAAAGAACTCCATTCACATTTGCACAATTAATTATTCAAGGTGGACACAAGTTTTTTGTGAAAATAGTTGCACAAAAAATCATGCGAAAATCAAGGACCAAAGGGAAGAGTGGAATATTCTGGACGCTCTTATTGACTAAAATATTTTTATTGGTCGATAAAACTGGAGCGAACAAATATCAATGAAATCGAGTGAAAAAGGTAAACAAAAGGTATGTATGTTTGTAAATGAAAACAAACATGAGCTCACACAAATTCAGTGTAATACCGTTACTGTTTTCAACATAAATTTGTGAAGCTTTAAAGTGGTTTCGGCCTTTGTTCTAGTTATGTATGTAAGGAATCATGGACATAATAAATTTAAATACGTGGAGCACAGAGAATATACATATATACATATAATGACGAAAGGGAAATTTATCAGAAAAATATCCCAATAGAAAATAGATATTATAAACAATATTTTTACAGATTCTGCTTTCTACAGAGCAATTATCTTATACTTATTATTTAATTTGAGCGCAATTTGACAAAAGTGATGATTTTTTTGTTATTTTCTTTCTATATAACTTGCTGTGATTGGTAACTGATATAAACCATTTAACTTCATGTCGAACAAATGCTGTTAAAATCATTATCACTATGCCGCCGTAAGCGAAGCTGAGAGTTGTGGAAGAACTGGTAAGGGAAAGCGCCACTGCAGGGACAACAGCAACAACTACTAATTGAGTTGTGGGTCAGCAAAACACGGAAAAGGCCATTGAAGTGCTAATAACTGGCACTCGGCCACTTTTGGTCTACAATAGAGACAGACTTGAACGAAGTGCGGGTCACTCGAACATGTTGGCGATGCATCGGCATGTTGTGCATGTATCATTGCCAATAACGTTGCACAGCTGTTTTACTTGTCGCAGCGAATGGTAAAAAGAACACGGAAATGCGGCATTTTCTACTCTCAGTGCTGGAACCATTATTGCCATCTAAGGTGATTCAACTGCCAACCTTTAGTTACTAAAATACCGTGAGCATGCTTATCGAATATGTGTGTCAGATGGTTATTTTAACTGCTACAGCATTAAGACCATTTATAGTGGAGATATATTCGCTTCACATTGCTACCCCCCTCTCTCGCCTTTACATTTATGCCTTACAAAAATACGATACGTATTTCATATTTATTTATTATACAATGTTCGACGGCATTGTCGCTTTAATTTAGTTTTAAAAATGGAAATTAATTATTGAAGTTACTAAATGTTATTGCATAGCATAAATGTAGATATATAAAAACCTATAGATAGCATAGAACATGAATACAAGCAATTAGAACCCTTCTCTTCAAAAAAAAAAAAAAAAAAAAAAAACAGAAAACAGCAACGAATTTGTCTTCCACATTAGTTGCTGCAACACCCATTGCACTTACTCGAATACTCATATTCTTCAACATTCTTTTTTGAACTCTTACAAACTCCTGCAGAAAAGCAGTGCAAATAACGAATGAATTTTAAATGGTTATAAGAATAAAACCGAATATATAGTATAAAGACTGAAGGAGCCTCAAAGGATACATCTGACAACAATGCATAGTGCAACAATAAATCAGTTTCTTCTTCTAAGATTGCACATTAGGGTCGTGAAATTTTACCTAGAAGAAACCTGAAGCTGGTTTAATTTTTTAGTAAAAAACTAGTCTTTAATCCCCATTCCTGCATAACCTAGTTGCAATTGAGAGTATCACAATTTTATACCGGCTATCTACTTTAACCTAAAATAAGGTTTAAGTCAACAAAAATTCGTCCGTCCTAATGTTCAAAGAAGCGTGAAGCGCATGAAACAAGAAAACAGAAACTAAAGTGCTTAAATTCACCATGGAACGCAAGTATATTCCAACACAAAGTGCTGTGTTGCAGCAAGTAACTGTACAGTGGCAAAAAGTTCAATAATTCGACTGATGACAGGGAACAGACGTGGCTGACATGCACTGAACAGTTATGAAAAAGTTTCTAATGTGAATAATGATGATGGTGAAAGGAATAAGTAAGAAACTGCATGTATGTAAAGTTTTTTAAGGGTTTAGTTGGAATAAAAAAGGCTTAAGAATTTAAATCAAAAAGGGAGAAGAGGGAGCGACATTTACAATATCACTATTTGCAATAAATTTATAAATTTTGGTAAACAATGGTCATAGATGCACTTAGTGGTTTAACTCAAACATATTTAGAAAGTTGTCTGTAAAGTATAAAAAGAATCATTGCATTCTATTACTTTTGAAAATATTTCATTTTATGCGGATTTTTCGATTATTGGCGTTTTGCAAGCGTTGCAGTGCTCCGATTTTGCCAATTTGCAATACCAAACTTCTTATGGTGCCAAGGAACATGTGTACCATGTTGCATCAAGATATCTTAAGTTTTACTCAAGTTGCAGCATCCACGGACAGGCGGACGGACAGACAGTCACCCGGATTTCAACTCGTCACTTCATACTGATCATTTATATATACATAACCCTATATCTAACTCGATTAGTTTTTGGTGATACAAACAACGTTAGGTGAACAAAACTATTAATCTGTAGCAACATGTTGCAAGAGTATAAAAATGAGAAAAAATGTTACCTCTGGTTGACCCGAAGCTATAGTACCCTTCATATACACAAAATATTTTTTACAAGAACTTAATTGCAACCGTTCAGTTTGTTTGGCAGCGGTAAGCTATAGTGATTCGATCTCAACAATTTTTCCGAAGATTGCGTAAGGGCCTCAGACAATAACCGCTGCCGAAGGTCGTGAAGATATCTCATCAAATGAAAAAGTTTTCCATACAAGTATTTGATTAAGATTGTACAGTTTATGTGGCAGCCATATGCTATAGTGGTCCAATATCAGCGGTTCCGATAAATAGGAAGCTTCTTGGAGAGAAAAGAACGTGTGCAAATTTCAAAACGATATCTCAAAAGCTGAAAGACTAGTCGACAGACAGGCGGGCATGGCCAAATAATATAAATTCTACCACACGAAAGCAAATATTACACATATTTAATAATAATTACACTACCCTATATTTAGATTTGCATACGCTGATAAATACACCCTTTATACTCTTACTGTATTTGAGTTCCTACACTTTGGCTCCCCGGCCAAAGGCTATCAGCGGAAATTGTTGGGATTGAAGATTTCCGGCGTGATGATTGAAGAGGAGCGAAATAAACTCAGATGACTAATGTAGCTGTGGAGAGCTTAAAGCCTTTAGCTTATAAAGTTGACAGTTGCGTAGTCTCTTTTCCTTAAGCGTCAGTACTAATTTTAAAAAAATAACGAACCCTACAGGCCCCACTGTTTCGTGAGGGAGGTGTGTTTGTGTTCAGCATTTTGAAGAGCTATCAGTCTTCTTCTCTATATCCCACTGTTTTTCTTGTTGTTGTTTTTTATACTAGTAAATTTAATTTAATTGCCTAATTGCTCGGCATTTGCTGCCTGTCAGCGCAAGTGATGACTGTTTGCATGCTCTAATCAGCTGTTTT